AGATGAAAAACACTAAGCAAAATTACAGACCATAGTTTAGAAAGACTTTTAAAAGCTCATTATGTTTATGTCCTAATGCTCTGTCATGGTTTGATTCTTCATTGCTGTGACAAAACACTCTGACCAGTACCAACTTGGGGAGGAAAGGGTTTATTTGTCTTACATCTCCCAGGTCGCATGCAGTTCATCAGGGAGCCCAAGGTAGGAACTCAGGGCAGGAACTTGGAGGCAGGAGCTGGAGCATAGGCCATGAAGGAACGCTGCTTACTGGCTTGCTCCCTTGGCTCCTGTTCAGCCTGCTTTCTTATGCAACACAGGCCCACCCACCCAGGGGTGGCACCGCCCACAGTGGGCTGGGCCCTCCCACATCACTCATCAAGAAGATGCCCCTCAGACATGGCCACAGGCCAGTCCAATAGAGGCAATTCCCCGATTGAGGCTCCCTCAACCCAGGTGTGTCAAGTTGACACTAAAGCTATCCAGCACAATCAGTTCAAAGCCAGCCTGAGAGGTCATGGAAGTCCTCTACACACACACACACACACACACACACACACACAGAGTGGAGATCCATGTGTGGACATTGCTTCAAGGAAAAAGCAACTCTTAGATTGGCAGGGGTCTGGAATGGGGCCCGCAGTCGTTCTCTTGTTGCTGTGATCAATACCTGACAAGAAGGGAGGAGAGGTTTGTTTGTTCCTGGCTCAAAGGATAGAGGCCATCACAGGTGGGGAAGGCATGGTGGCGGGAGCCACTCACATCTCTGTAGCAGGGCTGGGAACCAGCACTCAGCTCACTCTCTTGGTTTTCTTTTTTCATTGTGTGCCCATGGGACGGTGCCACCCATGATCAGGGTACCCTTCTTGGTGAATTCTCTCTGGTCTGGAAGTGCTCCCACAGACCTGCCTAGAGCTCTGTCTCCTAGGCTGATTCTAAAGCTGGTCAAGTTGGCAGTGAAGATTAAGTGTCACAGGACCTTAGAATGAGAATCCAGGCAGGAAACTCAGAGAGACGACAGACCATGGGAAATCTGTTAGTTATGTTTCGTGTGTGTGTGTGTGTGTGTGTGTATGTGCGCACGCATTTGTGTATGTGTGGTGTGTGTGTGTGTGTGTGTGTGTGTGTGTGTTGTGTGTGTATGTGTGTTGTGTGTGTGTGTGTGTTGTGTGTGTGTGGGGTGGTGTGTGTATGTGTGATAGGTGTATGTGTGTGGGTGTGTGGGTGTGCGTGGTGGTGGAGGTGGTGGTGGTGGTGTCTGGCATGCTG